GGCTGCCGCAACTCCACTGCTGGCTGCCCCGAAACTGCCAGGCCCGTCGGTGGCCCACCCGGCCACCCACCTTGGGTTTCAGACCTGGGGTCACTTTATGCCACCACCCCGATGCCACCACCCCGGGCTCTTCTGAGTCATAGAGCAGCCTTCAGAGCAGGGTAAGTGGTCCCGGTGGGGGAGGGGTGAGAGAGGAGGGGCTTCCCCTGGGGTTCCCGGGAGCAGAGTAGACTGGAAAGCCAGCGCTCTCCCGGGCAGGGGCACGTCTTCTGGCCGGTTCAGGGCTGTCGGCCTCCAGAGAGAATGAGCTGGAAGTGCAGGGAGAGGCCAGGTTTGGCCTGTGTCAGTCGCCAGCTCTTCTCCCAGGAGCCGGGTGCTCTGCCAGGACCCACGCCTTCCAGAATGTCCCGGAGGAGACGTGGGGCCGTGGAACCGCATCACGATATCTGTCCACCCTCAACACCGGGCTCCGTTCCCTCCCACCTCAGACCCGGCCCAGGCCGCCTGGGGGCTGGCAGGGTGGGCAGAGAGCTGGCCCTTGGGTAGTAAGAAGCTAGCTACCTCTGATCGGCTGCCCTGGAATCATGCAGAGCCCTGAGGCCAAGCTGTGACCTGAGCCCAGTCCCTGTCCGAGGGCCAGGAAGGTGGCAGTTAGAGACTCCTTGGTCAGGGACAGAGTTGAGGGCTTCTCAGGAGCCAGGAGAGCCGGGAAGGAGGGCAGGTCCTCTCCAGGGGCCAGCCCAGCCCCACGCCAAGGGGGTTTGGAGTGGTTTGCCACCCTGCTAAACTAATATGCTTCGGCCACTCCCCTCAATGGACCCGACCCTCTGCCCCACTGGCTCGGTCCCCGGCTGGGCAAGTACACAGCCATGCGAGGTCCCTCCAGGTGGGAACCTGCCTTGGAGCTGGGCACAGAGAGGAGGGCATTTTTCAAGGATTTTGCGGGCCCTCTTTTTTTTTTTTTCTATGAAATATAAGGATGTGCAATTTTTTTGGTTTCAATTTAGCATTGGAGAATTTTATAATTTAGTAATTAAAATCTCTGATAGGCTTTAGAAATTGCGGCTAATTGAATTTAATGGGAAGATGATTTTCAATTTTATTTGATTACCGGGACCCCTGGCATCGGTATTTATGGGAAAAAAATGGGAAATGTGCTGTGTGGGCTAAGATGGCATAATTGAATTAGGGATAATCGGATTTCTCCGTCATGAATTTCACTATAATTTTCCTATAATTTTCCATTAGATATCTAGTTTACAAATATTCACAAAGAAATGAAGCTCTTTCGGAATGGAGATTGCCGGCTAACAGGATTACGGGGCCAAGCGCGCGGGCCGTGCCAGCCCCGCTACCGCCCTAATGCAGTCCCTGCATCTGCCTTACACTTAGCTCGAGCCTGGCCTCAGCCCCTCGCTCCGCCGCCTGCTGGGCCGCTCCTCTCCGCCCTTTGTTTCCTCCATCCCTGTTTACCCCTGCCCTGACACCCGCCTCCTGTGGCCCGCCACCTCTCGTGCCCTGGCAGCCTGTCCCGTCCCCGTGCCACCGTGCGTCCCGTCCGCAGTTTGCTCACTCGCTGCTCTCCCTCACACCCGCCCTCCGCCAGCCCAGAGAACGCACTCACACGCAAACACACGGACTCCCTCGCAGGTGCGAACATGCTTGTTCACATGCACACACACTCCTTTGGCCAAGGCTCCTGTGCCCTGGCCCAGTCGCCTCGGAGGGAACCAGTTTATTGGGATCCTGGGGTGGGGTGCAGGAACAAAAGGAGCTTTGTTCAAGTTTATGTGAAAGTTACAAATTCAAAATGAGAGCAGATAAAGCATGAGATACCTGGTGTGTAAACAGGCTGCTGAGTGAGAAGGCCCCAGGCTCAGGAGGGAGAGAGAATGAGTGGGCAAACTGGGGGTGCAGGCCCCGGGAGCCAGCCACGGAGCTCGCCCGGGAGAGCCGTCGGTTTCCCTGCACTCACGCGAGGGGCCTGGGGGTGGGATCGCTGTGGGGTCTGCACTGTTTCTCCTCGAGGTTAGGTGTGGAAGGAGGCGCTGGTGGCTCTGGGCCCAGGGCCCCAAGACCAGGCGGCACTGTGGCACGGGCTTTCTATCCCCCAAGTCCCAGGCACAGATGTCCTCGTTGTGGCCTGGCCTCAGGGTCCAAGGAGGTGTCACCACATCAGGATCCTCAAGTCAGAAATGAGCCACAGATACCAGAGCTCTGGACCTCTCGCTTTCGTACCAGCACACACCCAAAGAGAAAGAGACAGAGAGAGAAACCTGGGACCCCTCCATTATGTGGTGTCTGACTCACCCCCACGACCTCAATGCCTCAGCCGTTTTCTCAGACCTTCTCACATCAAAACACACCAAGGTGGCCTCATTTCCTGTGCCTGTGGGGGGCCTGTCCTCCAGAAGGCCCCTCATTCTTGAGCAAGACCTCCTAAGCTTCTAGTGGCTGGTGGTGGCCATCATCCTGGCCGGGTAGAGGCGCTCGGGGCCCCCATCCTCCCTCCCCCACTACTAGCTGCGCCCAGCGGGCCCCACTGCCTGGCCCTGCGTGCCCTTCGTGCCCTGCCTCCCTTCCAGCTTGCTTAGTTCTGTCCCTCCGGCCCTTCCTCTCCAGGCTTCGTCCACCAGAGGCCTCAAAGTTATCACGCAGCCAATCTCGTTGGCCTTGCCTCAGTAACTGGAAGGCATGTCTTTCCATGCCCTGACCACCATCAGCAGAAGCCCAGAAGGACTTCAGAAGTCGCCAGCAGGCCTGGTGGGTCACATACGCAGGGAGCTCCCCGTACACGCAGATGGCTTCAGATGCATCCAGAAATCACCCTTCTGCCTCTATGTCTTCAGGCTTCTGCATCCCAGATGCCCAGACAGGGGAACAGATACTCAGGATTGGGGTTTGGGATTGACTGTTGTTACAACCTAAAGCGGCTTTGGGGAGTCATGGGTGGGAGTACCCAGAGGCACATGTGTACCCCAGAGCAGGCCTGGACACAGAGGTGCCCTGAGATCCTGCCTAGCAACAGAAGCTCATGGTCCTCTTTGCCTGGCAGCCCTGTGCAGCAGTTGTACCAGCCTCTGGGTAGCATGTGGCTTGGTTTGTTTAGGGAGCCTTGCTTCCTTATTCAAAGTTTTAGGGCCAGGGGACACTCTGTAAGCTCCTGGGCCCCCACCTACTGTTCTCACATGGGGATGGGGTAGACCTGAAGGGTGGAAGGTTGTATAACAACCAGGAGCACGAAAAAGGCATCGGGGAGGGTAGTGGAGTAGGTGAGGGATGCTAACCTCCATGTGAGGTCATTTGAAACTAAACAGCAGTCCAGGAAAGGAAGAGAAAATGGGAAAGTAGGAGAAAGAGTAGATTGTTAACTCTCTAACTTCTTTGCCCCAAAGCCTCCCTGGGCCCCTCTCTTTGCAAAATAGAAATATTGCAAAAATAGGCCAGCGCCATTTTGCTGAACGTGGCCCAAAGATCAGAGAAAGACCTCGCCTTATTGAAGGTAGTGTGGCCTCCCTCGAAACAGGAGAGGGGAGAAGGGCAGCAGGGTGGACACAGCAGGGACAGAGGGAGAGCTAGTGGCAGTGAGATCCCTGTCTTCACTCACACAACTACCCACATTCCTGCTTGCCTGGCTGCCTCCTTCTTGGAGACCCTGCCAGGCCCAGTGAGGAACTTGGATCACTAAAATGTAAGGAATCTCCACTGATCTGGCCACAGCAGGGACTTTTGGAGGCCATTGCAGGGAGGCCCACCAAAGCGCCTTCTCAGAGAGGAAAGGAGGAGGGGCAAAGAGTAGACAGAGGAGCTGGTGGCAGGACGCTGGCTCCTCGGTTGAGGGGTGCCTGTGCCCTGCCTTCCAGGGCCCTTCAAGGGGTACAGCGGCGGAGGCGAGAGGGTGGGAAGGAAGCCCAAGTGATCGCGCTCCGAGAAGAGATAAAAGCTTCTTCCCTGGCGTGGTGAGGGAGGAAGGAGGTGCTGGCCCCACCTCGAGTCTCGAGTCCCAGCTGCAGGGCTGGAGACTAAACTTAGGGGCAGGAGGAGAAGGCCCGGCAGCAGGGCTGTGCTACAGACCGGGGTCGGCCCAGGTGGGGAGGGAGCCAGGAAATCCAAGCGGCAGAAGCCCGGGGGTCCCCCGCGTTCCTGAAGTTTGGAGCCTGCGAGCTGCGTGAGGCCAACACGCGTGTTTCCCAACACACCCAGCCCCGCCGCCCCGGAGTCTTTTCTTCCAACTAAAAAAGCAACTCCACCAACAATGTGTGGTTCGGGTACGAGAGGGAAACAAAACCCCTGGTACCTCGGCACCCGGGGGCCGCGGGGAGCGCGAGAGCGCGCGACATAGCGGCGCGACCCCACGGCACTCACACCTGCGCCCCGCCCGCGCGGAAAAGTTTGCGCGGCTACGCACGCCGCGAGCTCTGGGCCGGTCGGCGCCCGGGAGTCGGTCCGCGCGCTGCTGTCATCGTCGAGTCGCGCTCGGGAGGCCGGCGCGCAGAAGGGAGCGTCCGAGCGCGCGCCCGCCCGCCCGCTGGCATCCTGCCGGAGTTAGTGCAGGGGCACGCACCTCGGCCACCGAGCCGCCCCCTTCCCCTGCGCCGAATCCCGCCTCCCTGCCCCCGAAGTCTGAGGTTTGGGGAATCACTGAGCCAATAAGGCCGGCCGCCCGAGCCGGTGCTCTGAAGCCTCGCGCGCACGCGAGGGAGCCGGCGCGTGTGAGGGAGGGAGCGAGCGCAGGGCGCGGGCGCGCGTGAGGGAGCGGGCGCGGCGCGGGCGAGCGCGGGCGAGCGCGAGCCCATTCACTCCGGCCTCCGGCTGGCGGGCGCGCGCGCGCGGGCGGGCCGAGCTCTGCTCTTTCACCTGCCGGGGCGGCGCGGGCCGGACCCGGAGGAGGCGGCGCCCCAGCCGCCCTGCCAATCACCTCGGCGCCTGGCAGCGCCCCCGGCCGCTCCCGCCCACCCGCTCCCTCCTGCCAAACTGTTACCCTGAGTGTTACCGTCAGGAGCAATGACATCAGGGCTTTAAAACAACTTGTTATTCGGGGAGTAATCAGTTGCAATTAGGCATTAATTAAGTATTATGAAAGTTGATTATTTAAGTGAATTCGGCTTTCGACTCTCCGACTATGGTGAGTACCCGAGTGGGGCGGGGGAGGGCCGGGGGCGCGCCGCGGGGCTCCGACCCCCGCGCGGGGCGGGGGGCGCGGGCGGGGCGGGGGTGGCGGGAGCCCGGCCGGGAGGGAGGGCTGGCGGGCGGGGGCGCCCCTCGGCCTCGCGGGCCGGCCGGGCCCCCCGACCCGGGCCGCGTCTATAAATAGTTTCTCTTTTAGTTTAATAAACTCGAGAGCAGAGCGGAGCTGCTCTGCGTGTGCAATGCCGGAGCGTGAGAGCGAGAGGGGAGGGAGGGAAAGTTTCGCTCTCCCTCCCCGGGCCCCCTTCGCATTTCTCCCCCAGTCCCGGGGACTTGTCCGCCCCTCGATGGGGGGCGCGGCGAGCGGAGGGGGCGGAGGGGGTGTGGAGCGGGGAGCGCTGCGAGAGACTAAACAGATTTTTTTCCCTTCCCTCTTCTTTTTTCGGCGATCTCCGAAGAGTTTGGGACCAAGGAGAGGAGAATGGATCTTGGTACAGGTACCGGCCGGTGGGAACCGGGGGAGGTTCTTTCACTTTTCTTTCGGTTCTTTTACGGAAGTTATTATTTTTAGCCCAATGAGGTAGCAGCTGGGCGGGGGGCGGGGGCTGGCCCGAAGAGGGTCCGGTGCCGCCGCGCTTCTCGCCCTGGTTTCTGGATTGCGAGGCTTCGGAGGACATTATTGTTATTATTTGTTACTTGCTTAGTGACTATGACTAATTTGATGCTTGTCATTATGAAAGAACGGAGGGTAGAAGGAGCTGGGGGGCACCCAGAGAGAGGATTTAGGGGGTTTTTGTGGTGGTTTTTGTTCTCCATGTTTTTTGAATGACTCCGTGTGTTTTCTGTGTTTTTTAATCCCTGCAAAGATCTCTGTGTGCCTGGCTGTGGGGTGTGTGTTTTTATTTTTTTAGTGGGGGGTGGTTTAGTTTTTGAAAGCAGCGTCCTGTTGGGAAAGGTGGTTAGTCTGGTTTCGGGGCGACTGTCTCAAGGTAAAGGAATTTAATTTATTTGGGACAAGGCAGTGTCGGATGATCAAGCTGCTTATTATGGCTAATGAGTATTTTTCACCTGAGAATCCGTGGGATGAGGCGGCTGTTATCAGTTCAAAGTGCTGGGCCCAGGACTCTCTCCCATCCCCCCTTCTAGCCCCCACCCTGCGAGGGGGTAGACCAACCAAACTGCTACCTTTGGACATTTGGGTTTGGCGGGGGGCTCATACGGCGCCTAGGCCAGGGTTCCAGGTAGCATGGTGCTGGCCTGGGCCAGAGTTCATCCCAAGATTTGGGTGTCTTATTGGTTTCAATCTAATTTTATTCAATACGTCTTCTCTCTTCCTGTCTGGGGTTCCAGCCGAAGTCCGGACTGAGATTTGCCGGAGCTCCTCTGGCTGTCCGCTAGCGCTGTCTGTTGAAACCGAATTCTGACCAGGACCCTCAGGTCCTAGGCTGGCAAAAGCAGCTGGCTTCTTCTAAAATGTTTTTAAAAGAAGTCAGCCATAAACAGGCTGATAATTCATTGAGACTGATCTCTGAACCCTTCTGTTCCATTGATAGAAGGATGATAAGTGGCAGTGGTGGCTATTAGAGTTGCTGTTTACCATGGGCCCAAGTTCACAGCATTGTCCCCAGGGACCCATGAGCTGACATTTTGACCTTCTGAGGTCAAAGGGGAGGGGGCAGAGAAGACAGGAAGACAGCACTGGGGGGCTCAGGGTGGGAGACCTGGTGGCTGGCTCTGGGAAAGCCATGTTTGAGCAGGGGAAGGGGTTGTTCACAAAGTGTGAAGACTGCGTCCAGCCAGATGTGATCTGGGCATATCTGATGTGGAGGTCCTGGGACCTTTGTGCCCAGGAAGGGTGTAACACCCCCTGCTGGGCAAAGCGGTGAAGGTGTCTAAGGCCTCTGCTGCTGCCCTGCCCCTCCCTGCCCCTCCCTGCCCTCCACTCCCACAGAGAAGCAGCCCGCCCCCACCTCTAATCAGGTGTCTCATCACCTCCCTCTCAGGCCCCACCCCCTTTCTTCGGAAATGGGGCCCCCGCCCATCCCTACAAGAAGCACACCTTACAGAAGGGCCAGGTACTGCACCACCCTCTACCGGAGGCAGGCCACGCCTCTGCCTGTGGGCGGGCACAGGGGACCCTGGCATTACTCAGCTGGAAGGCGGGGCCCTCTTTGGGTTCCGCCTTCTAACCTGGGTGCCAACTGGAGCTGGCACCCATCCTCCTGCCCTGCGCCAGCCAGTCCCTCCCCGCACGACTGCAGAGCCCTCCTGTAGGGTGTCCCGACCAGGGAGTGGGCCTCCTGGGCTTGTGAGTGGCAGGACCTCTTGTAGCATCCCTCCTGGGCCTTACGAAGACTCGCTTCTCCAGCACTCCAGGGACAGGCTTTGGAAACTTTTCCTAGAAGCTGTAAGGGCCCCTGAGGTCAGCCGGTCCCTCCCGGAGCCGGAGCCGGAGCAGGGCACTCCCAGCAGGACCCAAGCCTGGACTCTGGCCACTCAGTGAGGGGAGGTCCAGAGTGTCAAAGTTCTGACTGTTTCTGGGAGGAGTCATCTCGTGATACCATCTCAGACTTTTCTTTGAACTTGAAAGTTTCACTTAATCTCAGAACTTCAGAAGAAAAACACTTTTCCCCTCTTCACTAAAAAAGGGAAGCAGGTGGGAACTCTGAGATCCCCTCTGAGCCGTCTCTGGCTAACTCCTTGGGCGTCTTCCCTCCACCTCAGGAACATACTCCTGGACGCAGCTGGGGCCGGGGGCGTCATTTGTGGCCAGAGCTCGTTGCTGGTGTGGCGAGGGGCTGTCCTCCTGGGGGGGGGGGCGGGGGCTCTGGGCAGCTGCCACTCAGGGCCCCTCTAGCACAGTGGAAGGCTGGAGGCACAGGCCCCAAAAGGCTGTCAACACCAGGGACCCCATAAGTATTGGATCATGAGTTAACATTGCCACCAGCCTGGGACAGGTCTAGGTCCTGAAGTGCTCCAGTTGTAAGTAATTCAGCAGTGGGAGAACCAAGGCCTCTCAGGAGGGGACAGCAGGATCTCAAGACCCTCGGGGGCCATGTGGGTCCCTTTTCCCCCACCATAGTTCAGCCAAGGGCTGGATCAATCTGGACGTCTTTAGCAATAAAAAATGCCGATGTCGTCCTAATTCACCAGGCCCCGAGATGACAGCAAATTTACATTTTTTAATTAAACTAGCAGCCAGTTTTTATGAGAGGGGGTTGGGTTATGCAAATCAAATGGTTGTGTACGGAAGATTAGGAGAGTTTGGGAATAAATTCCACAAATGCTAATAAAAAAAAGGAAAGAGAAAGAGAGGGAGGGAGGGAAGAGAGAGAGGAAGAGAGGAGGACATAGTTCCATTAGGCCCTTTTAGAGTGATTTCCCTGGGGGAGGGCGCCGGGAGGGGGAGGAGAGGCAGGAGGAAGCTTTCAGACCCAGGTAAATCCGTCCTGCAGTTGGGAAGCTCCCCAGGATGAGGCCCACTCGCCGATTCCTAGGTCCTGGGCAAAACTGGAGGCCAGGTGACAGTGGCTGTGAAATAGCAGTAAAGCTTGGGAAAAGAACTTGCCCTTGATTTTCTGGGATCTGGTTATAATTGCTCCACTCTCCCTAAGGGGAAGCTGAGAAGGAGGGGAGGGGCTGTTCAGTTAGGGGAGCCGTCAGAGGATTCAGGGTAGGCTCCGTCGGGGAAAGGGCCGCATGGGCAAGTTCTCAGAGATGGGCAGGCCGCAGGGGGCGCCGGCGCGGGGCTGCACGGCCACGTGGCGCCGTGTCTGCAGCAGCCATGTTGTTGGGGCGAGGTGGCGGGAAGAACAGGTGCGGCTCCCCGAGGTGGGCCCGCTGCCTTTGCCCTGGACTAAGCTCTGCTGGGACGCCAGGCCACGTCCCCCTGCACCGCACACGGATCCCCTGTTGCGTCCTGGCCCTCGCCTCAGCTGAGGAGGAGGCCAGGAAGGATGGGGTCGTGGGAGCTGAGCCAGGTTGGCGCGGCAGCTTGCCTCTTGGAGTGGAATTTCCTAGTAGCCGTGTGCTTCGAGGGCACACGGGCTCGAGGTGGGAGAAGAAAGGCTGTGGGCTTCTTCCAGGGGGTATCTGATCCCAGGGGGCGAAGAATGTGGTCTTCCTGGGCTGCCTCTGTGTGTGCTGCTGCTCAGGCCCCTGCTGCCGGGAGCAGCGGCCCACCTCCAGGTCCCCAGGACTCCTGTGAGCCTCCCGTTCAAGGCCAGCACCCTGCCAGGGGCCGAGGCTTCTAGAAACCCTGCTGGCTCTGGTTACGCCTTAGACCCGGTGTGCAGTGGGGACTGGGGAGGCTCTTACGCTGTTTCTGGAAGGAGAGATTCCATGCCAGGTTTGGAGCAGATCAGGTTGCCCTCGATCTGCCGTCCTCAAGCCTTTGCTTGGCCGGATCCACCGTCTCGACCAGTCTAAGCTGGAGCCAATCCCTGCAGTGAAGTTGGGCACTGGTTTTGCCAGTCTGCTGCAGGGGGTAGGTGCTTCAGTACCATCTCGGCAAGAAGGAGCAGTCAGAGCCAAGGACAGAATGGGCGCTCTTGGAAACAGCAAGTTTCCTGGTACCGTTCGAACAGAGGCTGGCTGTCATGTTTGGAGGGACTTGAGCATCAGGTGACATTTCAGGCCTCTGGCTCTCCCACTCCTAACTTGATTTCACCAGGAGGATTCAATGGGGCAGTCTTGCGAGAGGTGTTGAGTGGCCGAGGCGAGAGGCACATCCTTTGGACCTTTTCTCTGGAAGGAGAAGTCTGAGATAGGCAGCTCTGGGCTGTGGCACGGCCCCTGCACAGCCCGGCCTGAGCCCGGAGCAAACCGCATCGGAGCAAACCGCAAGATGAAAGGCCTGGCGTTCCCTCCGACAGGGGGCCGAGGCCGCGCAGGCAGGTCTGGAAGGATCCCTAGGGCCCCGCCCCAGGCCCTTTCTCCCTGTAGGGACCAGCCAGGGAACCCCCATTCCCTCCCCTCTCCAAGAAGGGCTCTGGGGCCACGGGGAGACCTCTGCCAGCCTCACTGTCAGTCCCAGGCCCTCCCATCCCCCCCGGCCAGGGAGTCTGGCTGAGTTGCAGCTTGGGTTTTTATGATGGAAAAATAAAATAAATGGAGGCACCTTTCGAAGGCTGAGTCACAGCAGCAGCATCTCCTCATTAAAGCTGCTGCCCTGGCTCCAGTCCCCTGCCAGGAGATTGGGCGGAGCCCGGGGAGGCGCGGCGCCCTGACTCCTCCTCTTCCTAGACCCTGCCAGGTTCCCAACGCCCTGGACCCTGCCCTGGACCCTTCCGTCAGCCTCCGCTGGCTGGCCCGCCGTTCCTAGGAGGGCCGGGCTATTTCTCCCACCCCACCTTCACCCACCCCCACCAAGGCTTCCGCTTTAACGCTGCCCTCCCTGCCACTAGTTTTAAACCTTGACTGCCCTGGCTGTGGCCACTCCTCCTCCCCTTCCTCCTGCACCTCTCCCTCCTGCTCGCCCTCCTGCTCCCCCCCCCTC